TTTTAAATATTTTGTAATTTGTACTGGAAAATGAAAAATTCACCACTTCTGAATTTTTAGTAACTCAGTCTGCCTTTGTCTACCAGTTATTCTGGATATTTAAATTTTATTTTGTTAATAGTTATTTTTGCACCTTATTCTGATTTCAACTCATTGTGAGAAGGAATAGCCTTGTTTTCTATATATAGACAGATAGGTAGATTGATAGATAGATGTTAGCACACTGTGCTGATTAAAAGGTTGGGGGATCGAGTCCACCCAGAGGCACTCAAAAGAAAAGCTTGGTGATCTACTTCCAAAAAATCAGCCATTGAAAACCCTGTGGATAGTAATAACCAAAAAATACGTATGTGGTTACATAGGTAGAAGTGTATGCATATATGTGTCTAGGAAGGCCTATGTGAGTGCATATATGTATAGGTGTATCTATGTTGTTGTTGTTATGTGCCATAGAGTCGGACCTGACTCATAGAGACCCCTCCTTGGGTTTCTGAGGCAGTATCTCTATGGAAGTAGATTGCCCCATCTTCCTTCCGAGGAGTGGTTGGTGGGTTTGAACTGCCAGCCTTCCGGTTAGCAGTCAAGTGCCTTAGGCACTACACTACCAAAGCTCCCAGGTGTATCTATAGACATATGCAAATACATGTATATGTGTGCTGCATCCATTTCCATGGATATAATAAAGCACATGTGAGTGCACAGTTATGGAGACTTCCTAGACATATCCAAACATGGAGTTGGTTCACTGGTTTGAAGGGCTTAGGACCATAGTCTCATGGGATAACTTCGTCACTTGGCATAACATAATTCATAAAGTTAATGTTCTGCACTTTAGCTTGATGAGTAGCTCCTGGAGTCTTAAAAGCTTGTGAGTGGCCATCAAAGATCCAGCTTTTGGTCCCTGTTTGACAGAAACAGAATGAAGAAAACCAAAAACTCAAGGAAGAAACTAGTCCACAAGACCAATAGCCCATATGAAGACTGCCTTTCTAACCTGAGACCAGAACTAGATGGTGACTGGCTACCACTAGTAACCATTCTGACAAGGGACAGTATACAAAGTCATGGTTAGAATGGTAGAAAATGTAGAACAAATCTCAAATTCCTGAAAAAGACCAGATTTACTGGGCTGATAGAGACTAGAGGAACCCCCATGACTATTGTCCTAAGATACGCTTTTAACCTAGAACTGAGTCAGCTCCTGGAAGTCAACATTCGATCAAACGATTGGACTGTAAAATAAAAAGTATCACCCGTGAGTAATATGTCCCTTAAAAAATTAAGTATATGAAACCAAAAGGTCAACATTTACACAAAAGCAAAGAGGAAAAGGCAAGGAAGGGAAGGGAAGCTAGATCAATGGAAACATAAGAAGAAATAATGAGAGTGCTGGCATACTGTGAAAATTGTGTCAATTTAAACAATTGTTTAAATGTTTAATGGAAACCTAATTCACTGTGTAAACTTTTGCCCCAAAAACAATAAAATAATTGAAGGAAAAAAAAACAATGGAACTGGTTTTGGTTTGGATCGAGTCTAGATAGGGTTCTGATTGAATAAGATGCTTATACACACCCTAAGTTTCTTTGAGCTTGGAGTGTAGAATTAATTGAAATGGCTGAATCTAAAATGAGATACCTGACTTGCTGCAAAATGATTATCAAATGTGCAGCATTATCTGACACATTTTAAAATTACCAACTTTTAGTATTTTCAGCTGTTTCACTTACATAAAAGATTTTTTGCATCATTTTACTGCATTCATTGTTTAGCCCAGTTGATTGTAGGAAGACTCATCAATCAGCAGATCAAAAAATATCTTGAAGCCTTGCTTGGTTAAGTAAGCTTCCAAATGAGTTTCAGCCATTCCCAGTGGGAAAGGCAATACAGCCAGAAGCATCACCCCCACTCTGCTTAGAGAATTTAATGCCAACATACCCTTCCTCTACCCACTTTTGTTTTGGAAGCTTTAGCAATTTTTTGAAAATGTTCAGTTATTCTCAAGACTTTGAGACTTCCCATCAGAACAAGATGTTGATGGTCCAAGCAGGATTATACATGGACTTCTTTCTAATTTAATCCAAATTTTTTGTTGTTCTTTTCTAGGCCACAAATACACTTATTTCCATAGTCTCACAAATGCATTATTTTGGTCATGATTATTTAAAAAAAAAAACCACAATTAAGTCCTAGAAAAACTGCTTAAAGAATACATTCTGTTGATGATGACTCCAAGGCATTGATTTATATAAAATTGAATACATTGTTGTTATTCCCTCTACATGTGCCAAGAATAGTAATTCTGTTTAGAAAAATACTCTTTTTCTCCTTCAAGCATTCAGTGTGCACTTATTAAGTACCCACCTTAGTCAGAGTATGCTATATTTTATGGGACATATGAACATGAGCAAGATCAAGTTACTTGATGTTTTGCAGAGCTAACACAGTCTGTATTTCTCTTATTCACATCTTTCATCTTTAACATTTTGGCATTCTGAAACTGAAATACATCATAGTTGCTGTATGCAATAAATGGAAATACCCCTTCCCCAACACAAAATTGTTAGGATTTGAGACTCAAGAAAATGTAGAAGCTTTACTATAAAGTAAAAAACAAAACAAAACTCATAGTGAGGCAGTATCACTACGGAAGTAGATTGCCCCATCTTCCTTCCGAGGAGTGGCTGGTTGGTTTTAACCTCCAGCCTTCTGGTTAGCAGTCAAGTGCCTTAGGCACTACGCTGAAGTAGGAAGTAGTAAATGCCATAAAAGAGAAACAGAAAAAGTTCCATGGACTGTTTGAAAAGGGAGTAATTGTATTCAGCAGTGGGGATTAGGGATGACTTTCCTGGGTAACAGAGGGTATTCTTGATAAGACTCAAGATCATTTAAAAATGAATTAGTAGCATTCTAGGCAAATAGAAGTGTGTGAGCAAAGCCACTGAGGTCAGCAGGAGCAGGTAAAATAGTCAAGAGTTGACTGCAGACTAAAGTTGTGAAATAGAAGGTATATTAAAGATATTAAGTGGTGGACTAAAGAATGTTGACTTGTCCTTGAAGGCCTTAAGTAAGGGAGACGTGATCAAAAACCAACAGCAGTGTTTATGATGAATTAAAGGTGCAAGAGACTGGAAGTGGGAAGAGTTTTTTTGTACTACAGGAAGAAGGTCATTAGGGCCTAAATTGAGGTGACTGGAACATGGGTAATGCCCTTAACAGGAAGAGGAAATATTTGAATAGAAGTAGGTTTGGGAGTAAAGTTTGAAAACCATGTTTTTATTTTAGTTTTTGTAAGATTAGGAGCTCTGGTGGCATAGTGCCTAAGGCATTTGACTCCTAACCAGAAGGCTTGCAGTTGAAGCCCACCAGGCAGTCCTCAGAAGAAAGACTGGGCAATCTTACTTCCATAGCGATAATGCCTCGGACACACAAGGAGTCGCTGTGAGTCAGAATCGACTCACAGCTGTGATTTTGGCATTTTGGTTTTAAAGGTTCAAAAACAGCATTAGTTTTCACATCACTGGATATAGTAGCTGTAGCTGGGGCTGACAAAGGGAAATAAATGTTGTTAAAATGTGAAGAGGGTTGATGCATATTGAATGAATACAACATGGTATTTTATAGCTGCATATTTTTAGAAACATTTACAAGACTATTTCTGTTATTCTTTTATGTGCTTTTGTAGAAATACGTATTTATGAGAATGCTATAATTTACTGTAGGCAAGTGTTATATGTTTTTATCTTGACAATATAAGATGAAGAGGAATCTAGGAGTTGTGGTTCTTAGTGTAGGACATATTGGTAAAAGGATAGTAAGTCTTTCTAAGGGAGAAAAGTGAAAAAATGTGGGTGCCTTTAAAGTTAATGTGTTATCTGTTGCTTGTGCAAAATCAATGCATTGACAGTAGGCCACAGGTTCTATTGCTTGTTTAACAATCACTGTACTAGCTATAAGGATTCAGCAGTGAATAAACACAGTCCCTGCCCTCCTACTACATACTAATGGGGAAGAATAAATTAATAAATATAAAAATGCATTTTGTTCCTAAATTAAGATAAATAATTTGTATAGCTATGCAATGATTTTTAAATTGTGTAATAATTATGAAAATAAAATATATCGATTCAAATATGAAGTTTTTTTTATAATTCTTAGTATTTCACTTTGAGATTCTGTGCTCACCTGTTGTTTGTTTATTGATAGAGAGCAGATCATAAAGCAGTCTACAGAACTAGTCTGCAGAGCCTACAGTGAAGTGTATGCAGCTGTGATGAATCCAGTCAATGAATACAAAGATCCAGGGAACATTCTACATCGATCCCCACAGCAAGTGCAGACACTGCTCTCCTGATTATCTTATTTGACTGTTAGCAAATATTTTGTCTCTGAAACACTGAAAATGTTCTTGTTTTTAATCGATTAATCTTCAATTTGAAATACGATGGTTATGATTTTCTATGTATCCTAAACTTGTAAGTCCCAATCATTTCTTTGCTTTGACCACAATAATGTGTTAAGTAAAGTAACATATGTAAGCCTAAGTTAGGATTGCTCTATATTTAGAGCCAGAAAGGCTCTATTCTCTGCTATCCACTTCTCCAGCTGTGTTTACTTTTTCTGGAACATAAATGTGTGGAAAAAGTAGCATAAGAAATGTTTGAAGGATTTATATATATATATATATATATATATATATATAAGATTAGCTTTAAATTAACAGCACATAAGAAATTTGTCTAAATAAAAATTAGTAGTGTTCAGGAAAAGACCGAATAAATGTCTCCTTACCTAAAGATTCATTTGCTTTTTTATTAGTTATTAATGTAAGCGGACATACTTAGTAGCTTTGTTAAACCTAGCCTATTTCTCTGCCCTAGAAAAATTGTCCTAAAAGAGTCATAAGAAAAGATAAAAATACAGAGTGGATTGTGAGTGTACAAGTCTGTGAACCTCCTTTCTGTTTTACTTTAACACAATACATAACTGACTACACACATTTATGTGCAACTCTAAATATACATGCAACTAAAAGGAAAAAGAGAGGGAAAAGTAATTTAAATAGGCTGGGTTCCACTCTGTTTGCCCTGGACTGAACTCAGGGTGAAGTTCCGCTCTGTCAGTGCGTTTTCAGTGCTACAGGCATCTCAAAGTATGAGCATCCCATGTTGTGTTTAGATCTAATGTTTAAATACTTGTATTTGTCCTATAATGTTGATTCTAAGTCCAGTCAGCTATGTGGTTTATCTGGTATTCTAACCAAAGAAATAGTGATCTACTCCAATACTGGAGGGAAAACTGCCAAAGGAGCAATTCTGAGCAGCAGCGGAGACTCTCACAGAGTGATTTGAGCTCTGACTTTAGAACTTCACCTGTGAGGAAGATGTAAAAAGAAATAAATCTCTGTGTGTTTGATAAGACTTTACTATAAGATTTCTAGGACAATCCTTTTAGTTAAATATCTTAATTGTTAATCTATGTAAAGGGTAAATCCCTAAAGTATAAATAAACTGAGGCACAGGAAAAGAAATTGACTATAGTTTGAAATATTTTGAAAAATTGTAACATAAAATTAATATTTATAGCAGGTGATACAGCATATAACATGAATTAATATTTATAGAATATGGCATAGTCTGAAATTTATTAATACTAACATAATTCTTTTGGTGTAAAATCAATTGTATCATCTATTTTGCTTTAAATTGGTATTTTTACTCTTTTCCCTTTAGTGAATATATGTGATACATAAAAGATGGAATATAAAGTGTGATATAAACCGAAACCTTAAATTTTACATTGTACTGTGAGAAATGATTGACACCTTACCATTGGTGAATGCTTTTGTTTTCTACAAAAAATATTAATTTTTCTTTCAGCTGGTTTTCTCAAATAAAATATTACATTCTTTTTACAGCAATTTTTTTCTTGTCCTTCTAAAAGAATTTTTTTAATATACTGTTTTTTTAGTCAACAACATTTTTTAAAATCAGTTTTTGATTTAAAAAAAAATTGTGGAGAAAGTATAGGGAGTTCCCACATCCTCCTCTCTTCTGCACAGTTTCTACTATCATTAACACCTTGCATTAAAGTACTACATTTGTCAGTGTTTGTGAACATACTGACACAGTTATTATTAACTAAATTCCATCATTTACAGTTCATGCTTTGTGTTATACGGTTTTGGATTTTAGTCATTCAAATAGGTGTGTAGTGATACTTCATTGTTTTTCCATGCAGTTATTTGTCATTGGTATATCTTTGCTGAGGTGTCTGTTCAGATCTGTGGTCCATTGTTTAATTGATAGTCTTTTGTCAGTCCTCACAAAGTTCTGCCAATTCCAGATCACTTTGTTCCTTCAATAAACCCTTAAGCTTTAATTAAAAAGAAATTGAAATGAGAAATATTTCAACAATAATACTCTTAATATTTCATCTTCAAAAATGACTAGAACAACTAGACAGAAGATCAGCAAGGAAATAGTCTGGAACACTAAAAACCAACTAAATCTAATAGATATCTACAGAACAAGCCACCCAACAACAGCAGAGTATACTTCCCTCTCAGGCATCCATTCATTCATGTGATTCTACAACATAGATTATATATTAAGCTACAAAACAAGTCTCAATAAATTTAAAAAGAAATCACACAGAATATGTTCTCTGTCCACAATGGAATAAAATAGAAATCAGTAACAGAAGGAAATTTGAAAAATTCAAGTATGTGGAAATTAAAACAAAACAAAACCTATTTTTAAATAGCCAGTGGGTCAAAAAGGAAATTAGAACGTACTTTGAGATGAATGAAAGTTTGGTATGAAACAACATGCAACATCTTATGGGAGGCAGCAAAAGCATTGCTCAGAGGGAAATTCATAGCCCTTAATGCTTACCTTGCAAAAGATGAATCAATAATAAAATTTTTTTTTTTTGGTTTAATGCTTATATTACAATAGATTATTCATTAGCCTAACATTCCACCTTAAGAAATTAGAAAAAGAAATTTAAAGCAAGAATGAAATATATGGTAACAAGTAGAGCAGTGACAAAATAGAGAATAGGAAAACATTAGAGAAAATAAACTAAAAATTGGTCTTTTAAAAGATTGTCAACAAGATTGACAAATACCCAGCTATATTGACTTTATGGAATGAATTTTGTCCCCTAGAATAAGTGTTGTAAATCATAACCCCTATGCCTGCATTTATTACTACATTTGCGAATGAGTTTTCTGTTAATGTGGCAGGATTATTGTAGGCTGTATCTTGAGTCTCTTACAAGAGATTCTTAGATAAAAAGAGTAAATTAGGCAAGCAGAGTTGGGAGAAGAGCAAGGCCAAGCCACATGAAGACCACCCAGAGCAGAAGCTGAAAGAGACAAGGACGTTCTTCCAGAGCTGACAGAGAAAGGCTTCTCCTAAAGCTGGCACCCGGAATATGCACTTCTGGCTTTCTCACTTGTGAGAAAATAAATTTCTGTTTGTTAAAGCCACCCACTTGTGGTATTTTTGTTATAGCGTCATTAGATAACTAAGAATTTGGTACCAAGAAATAAGGGTGCTTCTCTAACTTATACCTAAAACGTGGAAGTAGTTTTAGAATTGGGTAATTGGTAAAGAGTGGAAGAATTTTAAGGTGCCTAATATTTGTGTTTTATTGACTATGCAAAGGCATTTGATTGTGTGGATCTTGACAAATTATGAATAACATTGAGAAGAATGGGAATCCCTGAGCACTTGATTGTACTCATGAGGAATCTGTACCTTGACCAGGAGGCTGTCGTTCGAACAGAACAAGGGGACACTACATGGTTTAAAATCAAGAAGGGAGTGTGTCAGGGTTGTATTCTTTCTCCACACTTATTCAATCTATATGCTGAGCAAATAATCCGAGAAGCTGGACTATATGAAGAAAAACGTGGTATCAGGATTGGAGGAAGAATCATTAACAACCTGAGATATGCAGACGATACAACTTTGCTTGCTGAAAGTGAGGATGACTTAAGGCACCTACTGATGAAGTTTGAAGAATACAGTCTGCAGTATGGATTACATCTCAACATAAAGAAAACAAAAATCCTCACAACTGGACCAATGAGCAGCATCACGATAAATGGAGAGAAGATTGAGGTTGTCAAGGAATTCATGTTGCTTGGTTCTACAATCGATGCCAACGGAAGCAGCAGTCAGGACATTAGACGACGTGTAGCATTGGGAAAGTCAACTGCGAAGGAACTGTTTCAAGTGCTGAGGAGCAAGGATATCTCCTTGAGGACTAAGGTGTGCCTGACAGAAGCCATGATATTTCCAATCGCCTGGTATGCATGTGAGAGCTGGACAATGAATAGGGAAGACTGAAGAAGAGTTGATGCTTTTGAGTTGTGCTGGCGACGAATGCTGAAAGTACCGTGGACTGCTAAAAGAACTAACAGATCTGTCCTGGAGGAAGTGCAGCCAGAATGCTCCTTGGAAGCAAGAATGGCCAGACTTCGTCTCACCTATTTTGGTCATGTTGTCAGAAGGGACCATTCCCTGGAGAAGGATGTCATGCTTGGTAGGGTGGAGGGTCGGCGAAAGAGGGGGAGGCCTTCAAGGAGATGGATTGATACAGTGGCTGCAATGATGGGCTCGAGTATAGCATGGATTGTGGGGCTGGCGCAGGATCGGGCAGTGTTTCGTTCTGCTGTGCATGGGGTCGCTATGAGTCGGAAACGACTCGATGGCACTTAACAACAACAACAACAATAGTAAAAGCGTAAATTTTTGGTAGAATTTTGGATGTCAAAGGCAGTGCTGGTGAGGGCACAGAAGAAAGTGAGAAGAGCTGTTGAGAAAGTCTCTATCCTCTTGGGGAATAAATAGAGCACCAGCAACAAAATGTTGCTAGAAATGTGGAATGTTAAATGAGCTTTGGTTGTTGTTGTTGTTGTTGTTTGCCGTCGAGTTGCCCCGACTCATAGCGACCCCACCTTGGGTTTCCAAGGCAATATCACTACGGAAGCAGGATTGCCCAACCTTCCTTCCAAGGAGTGGCTAGTGGGTTTGAACCGCAAGCCTTCTAGTGAGCAGTCAAGTACCTTAGGCACTATGCTACCAGAGTTCCTAAATGAGCTTTTAGTGAGGTTTAAAAGGAAATGATGAATATGTGACTGGATGATTGAAGAAGGATGATAACTTATTTTTGCAGTGGCAGAGAACTTGTCTGAATTATGTTCAGATACTTGATGGAAAGTAGAACTTGTAAGTGATGAACTTTGATATCTGACTGAGGAGATTTTTAAGCAAGATCATGAAGGGACTGCCAAGATTTCTCCTTGTCACTTACAGTGAAATGTGAGAGGAAAGAAATGAA